TTTGAGGTGTCTGTCTTTTTTTTTTTTTTTTTTTTTCTTCTGGAGCCTCAGGCTGGCCTGACTCATCGCAAACTTCTTGTCTCAGTTTCCAAAAAACCAGGACTACAGGTATGAGCCACCATAGCTGGCTCTAGTTTTTATTTTATCTTTTAAAAGATTTATTTGTGGGGCTGGAGAGATTGCTCAGCGGGTAAGAGCACTGGCTGTTCTTCCAGAGGACCCAGATTCAGTTTCCAGCACCCACATGGCAGCTCACAACTGTCTGCAACTCTAGTTCTAGGGGACCTGGCACCCTCACACAGATGTACATGCAGGCAAAACATCAGTGCGCATAAATAAAAAGATTTACTTGTTATTAAATTTCATGTGTGTGCTTCTCCTTGAGTTTGTGTGTGCCCTTGGAGGCTGGAATAATATGTCCTATTCTCTGGAGCTAGAGTTACAGGAGGTTGTGAGATGCTCAATGGTGGGTGCTGGGAAGTGGTTCTGGGTCCTCTCAAAGTGCAGTAAGCACTCTTAACTGCTGAGCCACTTCTTCAGGCCCTGTGATGGAGTTTCTCATGGAACAAAGGACACCATTCTTTTTAGGTAGAGACATTCCCGGTGACTCAGAGCTGGGTGCATTCACCCATATGATGTACACAGGGTATCTTTGATTCTCGTCACTTGTACAGCAAACCCTTGCACTTGTAGACCAGGCTGATCTCAAACTCACAGAGATCCTCCTGCCTCTGCTGCTGAGTGCTGGGATTAAAGGGGTATGCCACCACCACCCAGTCAGCAAACTCTTTTTTAATACTAGCTTGGGAATCTCTAAGACCAAATCCCCAAAGGCTCTCGGAGGTTTTTGAGTGCTGACAAGAACACCAAAAATAGGAAATTCCATTCCATGATACCTCCTTCTATGGTGCAAATTATTAAAATAGTATATAAATGTCTGGGGTGGGCTCCATGGCTAAGTACTGGCCTAGCATTTGTAAGAATTTAGATTCCAGTGTGTGTGACACAATGAATTTTTTTTTTTTTTTGTGTTTAGACTTGGATCCCATCCCTAAAGTATATTATGTATTTTCAAATACTCTTATAGTTTTGGTTGTGAGCCCAGTCATCTCTTCAGCCCTGTATTTTTGAATATCTGAAATCAACATTAATATGCAACCTAAAACACTTCTATTCCCAGGAAGTGCAGATAAGGGCTATTCAATTTGTAGTTAACATAGCAACCACACAGACTGGTGTTTGAGTTATGATCCATGTCAAATGATGTTCTTCTTGGCTTGGGGATCACATGGTCGGGGACCTGAGTTGAATCCTCAGAAAAAAATACGGTTTTCTTATTATTATCTTTGAGAAGATGAAAATCTACATTCCCAAATGCTACACCTTCTTTACCAGCGTCACAAACATACTTCACCATAACATCTGTGTATGGTTGGGTCAGTCAGTTTGGTCTAGATAAAAACAGTCACACTCGCTGTTTATAGACATCTTTTTAATGTTTTAGTTTAAAACAAATATCTCAGTAAAAGAGAGCAAAGGAAATCACATTTTAACGATAGCTTGAAATGGGTATGGTATTCCTGATTCCGTTGTTTTCAGGAAACAGACAATTGTGTTGTTTTTCTACATGACTTTAAAACTGCTCTCTTAAATGCACATAATTATATTAAATTAAATTTTCTTACAAAACACAACCATGTCATTTAAGGCAAAAAAAAAATCAGGTTCTGGGGAATTAGCATTTATGATATTTCCTTGATCTGATTGAATGATCTGCTCGTCTGGGTTTCATCATTTATGATTTTTGATCTGGAAACGGGTATGATATTTAGTTAGTCTGTGCCTCGACTCCTCTATTAGACTTGTTTGACTTTCAGATTGAGAACCTTCCAGACAAAACTGAGCCAACGAGAGGTCAGAAAGGCACCTAAGAACAAGAAATTATTAGAGACTCAGAAACCCCAGCAAAGCATCTTAATTTAAATGACCTTGCCATCCACAGATATTAATTTGGTTGAACAAAATGCAAACACTTAGATTAGACATGGCAATAGCTTTTAGTTAGCCTCCTACAAGGATGACTGCTGCACATCTTTGCTTGATCAACCCTGTGCATTGCAAAAGGCAGTTGGGCTTGAGCTGAGAAAGCACAAGGCTACTCAGTGTGCTCAGCTGAGCTGTACTCCCGGACACCCTATGGGGTGGAGCAATGGGTCTCAGTTAAGAGTAAATGGGAGACCCCCTCCTCCATTCCCCCAGAGAATGGCACAGTAGATATAACCCTGAAGTTTACATGCCAAAAAAAAAAAAAAAAAAAAAAAAAAAAAAAAAAACCTATTTTGCAACATCCAAGAGTTTTTGTGCTAGAATAAAATAGACACAAAATGGTCATGGCTTCAATGCATAATTGTTTTTCACATTTTGCTTAAGACTGCAATGATGTGTTCTGGCTTTGTCTCTAATTCTTCAGTCTTCCGCTGTGTTAGAGGAACTGTACTGCATTTGAGACCTGAGGAGGCCTGAGAAGGGGTCCCCAATACATTCATAATTCTTGCTGCCAGTGGGGTTCAACCTGAGACAGACAGTTTCAGTGCTGTCTAGAAGCTGTCAGCTCCTTCCTCAGCCATTATTTGCAGGGAACTTTAATGAGTGCCAGGTAGGTATCTCTGGCTCTTGCTCAATGGAGGAATGTGTTTTATGTGTATACATACGGGTAAGTCCTTTGGAGGGTACATTGTTACTTCAGGTTGCTTGGAGACATCGGCAAATGAAAAATTACATTAATAATTGACTAGCATTGTATTTGGAAAATGAAGAGAGTAGCTTCAAAGACTTAACAAATGTTTTTTTTCAATAGGATGTAAAACACAGACTTTGTAAGTGTTTTCATAGGCCAAAAGATCCTGAATGCTAGCTCTAGGAGACTGTATTAGATTCTATAATCAAGTCTTTCCTTCCTCCCTTCTCCCTTCCTTCCTTCCTTCCTTTCTTCCTTCCTTCCTCCCTCCCTCCCTCCCTCCCTTCCTTGAGATTAGGGTCTCTGTGTAGCCCTGACTGGCCTGAAGCATACTTTGTAGACAGGTTAGCCTTGAACTCACAAAGATATACCTGCTTCTGCCTCTCCAGCCCTGGGATTAAAGGTGTGCACCACCACACCCTGCATGCATCCTAGAGGGGCGAAAGTAAGGAAGACTTTTAAACATTTCCACCGTTTTCCAAAAGTGAGGGTGGGAAGCGCATTGAGGAAGAGAGAATTGGTTTGCTTGGGGGTGGCAACAGCTTAAGGCCTGGTGAAGTTCCAAAGCACATTGTGAGGAATCACCAAACAGTTAAGGGGATGCAAAGGAAGGGCGACTCAGTGGCAAGAGCATTCTGCTGCGGCAGAGGCTTGGGAGGGGCTGGCGTATTTGGAGGTCTTCCTTCTATCACCTGATATCCCCAGATCCTGCTCATTTGGCCTGGGTACTGAAAAAAAAAGCACACACACCCCCACCCCCAGTGCTAATAGTTGTTAAGAGAAAATGTCTTCTTTCATGAATTTTTCTGTGATTCATGTCTAGCTAACTTCTCTCAGATTTATTGGTCTATCTTTCCCTCCCTTCCTCCCTCCCTCCGTCCCTCATTCCTTCCTTCCTTTTTAATTTCTTGAGATTAGGCTTCACATAGCAAAGGCTGGCTTGAAATTTCTAAACCTCCTGCCTCAACCTCTCAAATAGTGGGATTACAAGTACGCACACAAGCTAGGGCTCTCTAAGCCTATTTGAATGTTATTACTTTGTCAATACCTGATGGTCCAAGATATTTAGTTCTCTCTCTGTTTCTGAGACACTGTCTTGCTGTATCATCCAGGCTAGCCTTGAACTCGTGATCCCTTGTCTGGGTATGCCAGCACTGTGATTACAGGTGCTTGGCTGAATTCTAACAAGCAGTCAATATTGCTTGTCTTATTTGTTTCTTTGCTGTCACAATATATTGCTAAGGGGTTTTGATCTGCAGACACAGCCAATGATATCTGGTTTATAATTACTAATGTTCATAACATGGAAACCGAGCCAATAATTTCACATTTGGGATAATATTGTTGGGAAGAATAGAAAAATGTTCACTATAGTATAAAAGTAAAGGAAGTTTAGCTTTAGTCTTTCATGTGCAAAATGTACTACATAATAGCAAAAAGGCATTCAGGGCTTATTAAAAATAAATAGCTTGCAAAACTCTCTGTCATACAAGAATAAGGGATGTTTAGGTAGTTGAGCTTCCTAGCAATATTTATTTTCTAAAAAAAATCTAGTTATTTCATTTTGGCTTCTCTCCTCACTACCCTTTGGGGGCAGGAAGTCATTTCCTTTAATGCCATCCGCTAGTGGTAATGCTTGTACAGTCTTTTCCAGTCTTCCTTACTCAGTCTCATGTAGATATCCCCTTCCTTGGGCCCTACCTGCATGGCCACTGAATGAGAATAGCTGGTCACACTGGCCATTTGAGTGGGCAGGATGGGCAAACCTGTTGCTGTGTTCTCACGGAGAGACCAGCCCAGCGGCAAAGGCTGTTAAACCTATCAGTAGCTCATACACTTGTAAAGAGATTGACCATTTACAGAACAGCCTCCTCCATCAGAGGCTATTTTCATGAAGTTGAAGATGTCAAGGGGAGAGCGAGTCTCCTGCCCCACTGGCCCTGAATAGCAGTATCTGCCCATTTTCTGATTAGAAAACATTCTCAGCCTGAAGGACATCATGACAAGGATGGGCAAAGTCGCTTGCCACAGCGCAAAGTCACCGAAAGCACACAGATTGACATTCAAATTACGTTTAAAAAAATGGCTGAGGAGGAATGGGTTGGCAAAGATATCTTGAAATAAGCAGCCATTTCTGTTATATTCCAAATTCTGCTTTACTTGTTGTGTTATTAGCAGCTGTTGATAGCCATTGTGTCTAAACATACATTATGGTCTAATTTTGAAAATGTACTTTGCATCTAGTCATAAAAGCAGAAATGCCTGAAATTTGAAGGTGTTTACTCTCACAATTTCAAAATACAGCATCAATTCTTGCAATTGAACTACTCCCAACATCTTCACACACCCCATAGCATCAGCAACAACTGTTTGCTTGGGATTTTAGACTCAAGGTACATTACTAAATGCACGGGTTATTGTTGATGCACCTTGGAATTTCTGCCATCCCTAAACATGCATTTTCATGCAATTAAAAGATAACGGGCTTATAAGTTGCCGTTCGCGTTCTTCCTGATTCTTGCGATTTCGACTTTTTAGAAGGGCTTTCAGAATAGTTCATGCAGTGATATGTATGGCTAAAAGAACAGCTATGCCTAGAAAGAAAACAAGAACTTAGTTCAGTTTGACATGAGGCAAACTGAGGGCTTCCGTACTGTCTCCTGTCTTACAAATGTTCTGAGATGACCGCGACCTTCCAGTCCTTAGAGAGTCTGATGTAAAAGCAGCTTCCCCTGCAGGCTGTGGGGTGACATCGAAAGTATCTGTTTCTGCCTCCTCGGCACCCAGTTCTTCATCAGTGATAAACAATTTGGATTCTCTCCACTTGGGGTAAAAATCTTGGCTGCCTCTGGAGCCGCTTGACTCACTGCCTGAAAACTGCAAGTTCAGTTCCTCTGTCGATCTGATCAGGTTTTGTACAGACAAAGACTTGCCCAAATCCTTGGGTACCATGGGGCGGACAGACAACAGAGTTTCTCCTCCCATGTCAAAACTTTTCCTCAGGGAACGATCCTTGGTCAGATTTGACTGTGCAAACTGAACATTTTCCTTGGAGGCAACAAGGCAGGCGGTGACGTCGGAAATACTTTCCTGTAAGCCAGTGGGGTTTGGGTGCAGGGTCTCCGGTCTGGACAGGTGCTTGATGGCTGGGAGAGGGGGTGGGATCTGTAGAGTTGTTGGGGCTGCTGGCTTGGGTGCTGCGCTTATTTGGTTTGCAAGGTTATTGGTGGCCGCCATGGAGGAGCCATCGTTCTGACTCATTGGCACCTGTGTTGCTTGGCTGTGCATAGTAGGGCTGAGCGCATAGAAAGTCTGAGCACTGAACTCATTTGGCGTTAAAATGAACTGCAGGCCTCTTGAGATGTTGGCACTGGCTGACCTTGTTAAGCAGCCGCTGTTTTGCGCGGAACTGGACAGGTCCTTGCTATCCACAGGACTTTGATAGTCGGATGTCTGTTCACATTCAAAGGGTGGGATCTGGAATGATGCCAAAGTGAGGGCCGAGGCAGAGCCTTTACGAAGGACCTGTTGGTAGATGTCCAGCAGGCAGTCTAACTTCGATTCGATGGACTGGACCTGAAGATGGAGGAAACGGTTAAACACGAGGACACGCTCTTAGGAAGAACTCTTAAATCCTCTTGGGATTTAAGAGGTGAAATAAGATTTTATTGACCAAGTAATCGAAATGCTATGAGGGTCAATGCAGTTCGGTTATTGGGTCTCACTCTGGTGGTGACAGGGCCAGAGGAGGGTTACTTTCCCATTTGTGTGCCCGCCTTTGGGCTTCCACTCTTCAAAATTTGTTTTTTTTTTTTTTTTTTTTTTTTTTTGATCATACCATTAAATCATCATTAAAATGCAGTTTCAGATGATTTTCAATCAGCATGTTTTTCCTAGCTATACTGGTTGATTTCCTTTCTGGAATGCTAGTGAATATTAGTAAGAACATATTCTATAATGAAATTAAGAAATGTAAGCGTCAGTCTAAGAGACTTTTAATTTAAATTAAAAGCCAGGTGTGGTTGTACCTGCCCCTAATCTCTAAGAGTTCAAGGCCTAGCAGGGCGGTGGTGGACCACACCTTTAATCCCTGCACTTGGGAGGCAAAGACAGGCAGATCTCTGTGAGTTCGAGGCCAGCTTGATCTACAGAGTGAGTTTCAGCCAGGGTTACATAGTGAGACCTCATCCCCAAACCCCATGGATAAACAAAAGATTAATGAATGCTTTCAGATAAATACTTGTAACATTTACAACTCCATTGGGAACATTCTTTGAGAAGAACAGTCCCAGTTAGTTTTGTTACAACTCTGGTGAGGTTTTAAATCTTATTTTAAATGAAAGAAACTAAAAGGAACATAATGAAATTAAATAAAAACACACCTGACAAACAGATGTTTGCTATTTTACTGTTGAAACTCTACAGTTGGTTTCAGGTTAAGTGTTAATGGATAAGGTAAACGTTTCCTTCAGTGGGGATGCAAAGGTGTTTTAGAGGACATTATCTACACACGAGGGCACTTTCATTTCAACCTGCCCCCTCTTTACTCCTTTAACATGTGCCAATCGTTAGGATTAACTTTAGGAGACCAGACAGGGTGGGGCACACCTGTGCTTGGGAGGCAGAGGCAGGCAGATCTCTGAGTTCAAGGCCAGCCTGGTCTACATCGTGAGTTCCAGGACAGCCAGAGTCCTGTAGGGAGATTCTGTCTCAAAAACACAAAAACGAAAACAAACAAAGGTTAGCTTTAGGGACTGGAGAGAGACGGTAGGTAGCTCTTGTTCTCTTAGAGGATCTGGGCTCGATTCCCAACATCTACACAGCAGCTCCCAGCTACTCACCACCCAGTTGCAGAACACCCAGCAGCCTCTTGTGACCTCTTTAGGCACCAAGCAAGTGGTGACAGACATACATGCAGGCAAAACATTCATACCCACAAAACAAAATGGAAAAGGAGTAATGTTAGTGCTTAGGTTGCATGCACTCAATTTTGATGAACAAATCAGGGCTGAACATTAACTCTGGTAGAGCTATACCTGCTTTTCAACTTTGACAACCCGGCCGAGCATGCTGACATCATCGGTCGACTCATGTTCTGCTGTTATTTTCTCTCGGCTCTTTTTATCAGACGCGATTTGCCCCTTTCCAAGGATTTGATCAACACTGCCAGACAAAGAAGATACCCCGTTATAGGCACTAAACATACAGATTACACCAGAGCTACTGTGATCAACCTCCCTAGGCTGCAACCTCTTAATAGGGTTCTTCATGTTGTGGCAACCCCCAACCATAAAATCCTTTTCGTTGCTACTTCAAAATTGTAATCCTGCCACGGTTATGAACTGCAATGTAAATGTCTGATATTTCCAATTGTTTTAGGCGACCCCTGCGAAAGGGTCATTCGACCCTCAGAGGGGGAGAGACTCAGGCTGAGAGCTGATACGTTAGGCAAAAGTGAAGTGCTCCAAGAAGGAACGAAAGGCAGTGTCAGATGTGTAAAAGGTGAAACAAGGTGACATGTGTGCCAATTGATCGGGTTGTCTTTCTTTTTAGAATAGTGTCATTTGTATTATTTATTTATTCATTGTGTGTGAATGTGTCTGTGTGTCTGCCACATGTGTGCAGGCACCTTTGGACAGGGGCCAGAGTCCCTGGAACTGGAGTGACAGGCAGTCGTAAGCCATCTGACATGGGTGCCGGGATCCGAACTCAGGGCCTCTGGAAGAGCATCAAATGCTCTTAACTGCCCAGTCACCTCTCCTACCCCTGATTGTTTTCTTAACACAAGATTACATAAGATAATTTTTTTTCATCCTGCTGGTCCATGATGGAGTCAATTACGAAGGGACTGCCAGAGGAAAAATGTGCAAGCAAAGTAACATGTTTCTACTTTGGACCAGTCAGTTCTGAATTCAACCATAAAAACCACGAAAACATAATTATGATTACTTTACACTGATAGAACAGAGTCAATGAGGATTTGTTTTATACCTGATATGTGGATGATAAACAGGCGAGAAAAGCTATGTTCTTTTGTGACATGTTCTACTGAGCTACATGGCTAGGCCATCATTAGTATTTACCAAGTGCCCGTGCCAAGGTGACTAACTACATGTTACAGACTATGCTGACTGGTCAAGTGGTCATGTCAACCCTATGAAGCACCATTGACATTCTCTCCCTTTTCCAGAAAAGGGACAGGAGATATGTGGAGGGCGTTAATGTTTGATTTACACATGAAAAGAAGAATGAATAGAAGAATACAATGTATGTTACAAAGCAACCTCCCAGTTGCCTACCAAAAATAAGTCAGAAATACAGAATTGAGGTTTTGTGTATTGTAGGAAGTCCCAGACAGTTTCCATACCCATCGCTCACCGTGTTTGAAGGCTTTTAATTCTACACAGCATGTCCAGATGACCAGCAGAATATTGTTCAATGACATCTTTTACATCATACGGACGCAATGTTTCCTTAAACTTCCGTTTTGCCACATGAAATTTCATAATTCTGTGTAAGTACATAGTAAATATTATTTCTCACAACTTTGTCAAAGTAAGTTACCAATACATTTACCAGCAAATTGTAGTCTCAGTTACTGTAGAGGCCAAGACAAGAGGATCACAAGTTCATGGCTTGCCTGGGTTACATGGCCATCTTGGAAAATTTAGTTTCTTATCTCAGAACAAAGAAGGCCAAAGCAAGGCAGAAGTACAGCTCACTGGTGGGAGACTTGCTTAGCATGTGTAAATATCTAGATTCTACTCCCAATTTTGAAATATGTGTACATATATATGAAACTCTAGGAAGCAAAAATCATGTATCAGTATTCTATGCTTCTACAGTAATGCAATGTAAAAGACAGAGGTTAAAGAGGGCATTATGAGACCATTTCATATGAGACACACCTTCAGCATAGCACCATATGATAAAATAGAAGCTAAGCATTTAGTGTTACATCTCTTTAGTAGCCATTGGAATGTCTAATTAAAACCACAGTCAAATGCAATTCTATGTGAACTTAGATATCCAGGATACCATAAGATGTAGGGGCAATGGCTCTTAAAAAGTAGAACATCCACCGGGCATTGGTGGCACACGCCTTTAATCTCAGCACTTGGGAGCCAGAGGCAGACGGGGGTCTCTGTGAGTTCGAGGCCAGCCTGGTATACAGAGAGAGTTCCAGGACAACCTCCAAAGCAGTACAGAGAAACCCTGTCTCAAAAAAAAAAAAAAAAAAAAAAAAAAAGAAAGAAAGAAAGAAAGAAAGAAAAGAAAAAACCATCCTGGGAAATGATGTTTGCCATGCAACATGAAAACCTGAGTTCTCACTGCTGACATCTGTGCAAAAAGCCAGCTGTGGTGCCATACACCTGTAAACCCAGCACTGGGCAGGTGGAGACAGGAGATTTCTGCCATTACTGGTAAGCCATCACAGCCAAATTGGTGAGCTTCGGATTAGTGAGAAGTCCCACCTCAAAAAAACAAAACAAAAAAAACCCAAAACCCCCAAAACAAAACAACAACAAAAAACAAGTGGAATTTGAGGAAAACATTTGGTGTTGACCTCTAACCTTCACATGCACTCACATGCACATGTGTGCACACACACTGAGACAAACAAATACACATCCTTCTTAGCTCCCTTCCCACATTAAGAGTTTAGAACTGCAATGTTCTCTTGGAGTCTTTCTTTCTTTCTTTCTTTCTTTCTTTCTTTCTTTCTTTCTTTCTTTCTTTCTTTCTTTCAAGACAGGGTTTCTCTGTGCAACAGCTCTAGCTGTCCTGGAACTCTAGGCCAGGCTGGCCTTGAACTCACAGAGATCTGCCTGCCTCTGCCTCCTGAGTCCTGGGATTAAAGACATGAGCCACCACCACCTGGCCTGGATCCTGATTTTTATTCCAATCTGTTAGTCTGTTTTTAAGTTGGGGAATTAAAAAACAGTAATTACATCTTCCTCCCTCTCTCCCTCCTTCCCTCCCTCTCTCTTCCCTCCCTTTCTCTTATGCATGCATGCATGCATGCATGCATGTATGTATGTATGTATATATGTATGTATGTATGTCACAGCACATGTATTGAGTCAGAGGAAAACCTGCAGAGAGGTCCATTCTCTTTTTCTACCATATAGGTCCCAGGGTTCAAGTTCAGGTTGTCAAGCTTGGTTGCAATTATCTTTACCTGCTAATGGTATGAATCTGTAAGATGCAAATATATTTGCAAATCTCGGTTCCAAAGTAATACATACTAGTTTTGAAATTTGTGAGAAATTTCATAAACTATTTCTGCATTACAGTGTTGGATTAGCTAGCCAATTTTCTTTTATTTTAATCACCATTATTAGAGATCACTCATTATAATGCCTCCGTTAGCATGAGCCCCAGATTTTTTTCAAGACAGGGTTTCTCTGTAGCTTTGGAGCCTATCCTGGAACTTGCTTTTTAGACCCGGCTGCCTCAGACTCACAGAGATCTGCCTGCCTCTGCCTCCCAAGTGCTGAGACTAAAGGGGTGTGCCACCGCCTCCCAGCTGAGCCCCAGATTTTAAAATAATATTTCTTCAGTCACTTTCATGATGCCACCAGCAGCTCATTTGGTTTGATAATCAGTTACTGCAATAGTGTCATAAAGTGCCTGCTAAAAGCAAAGGAGTGTGACATTTTAATTAATCTGTGCAGCCTCCTTGCTGGTAAATGTTAAACCTGTTGGTGTTTTCCAACTATTAAATAGATCACTGATTCCTATTATCACAGTCATGGGCTCCAGGCAGGGGATTGATCTCTGTTCTAAAAACCAATATTTATAGTCCCTTGGTTAAAAGTGGAAAGATGAAGAATTTAAAAAGAAAATATCCGTTACCTATCTGAAGTGATAGGTTATTTCATTGAGTTCAAATTGCTTAGCAGTTTCAAAAGCTCAAACCCTATCTTCTAATTGCACTCGTAACCTCAAATTAATCATAACCCAATTACAGCATTCCAGCTCTTTTCATCATGTTTTTCTCTACCAATTTCTTTATTCAGAAAAGGGGGTTTGTGTTTGTTTCTTTCTACTCTTTTTTCCCTTCCTTTTCCTTTTTCTTTTTTTTTTCCAAGACAGATTTTCTCTGTTTAACATCCCTGACTGTCCCAGAGACTCATTTGGTAGATCAGGCTGTTTTCAAACATGCAGGGATCCTTCTGCCTCTGCCTTCCAAGAGCTGGGATTAAAGGCTGTGTCATCACGTTTGGCAATGTGTTTGTTCCTTTCCTTTCCTCTCTTCTCCCCTCCCCTCCCCTCCCCTCCTCTCCCCTTCCCTTTCCTTTTGTCTTAAAAACAGTAGTTAGGCAAAATTATTTAGTAGAAAGTAAAGGAAATGTGGTTGTGGCTAGGAAAATATCTCAGCTGGCCAGCTGCTGACCTGAGTCTAGATTCTCAGTATTCACGGAAGAACTCAGGCACATCAATGTGTATATATATCTGGAGCTCACTAGTCAGCCAGCCTAGTCAAGTCAGCGAGCCTCAGGTTCAGTGACTCAAAAAATAAGCAGGCAATCAATTGAGGGACACACCCAGTGTCAAGCCCTGGCCTCCAACTATACATGCTCATCTCTGTGTGTTCACCTATATACACTGTCCACATGAACAAGCACACACGTCACACTTGCATGCATAACGCATTATGTCTTAGCTTTAATAGCACTGGGAGAGGTGTTCTCTGCTGCCTTATGCGATTTGGGGGGCAGAAGTACAAAGGTCTTAGAGTGACACTCAACCACTCAGTACAAAGCATGCTCCCACCCAGGCCTGCCTGGCTTCTACTTTACTGTCCTAACCTCCCGTGGTAGCAGTGCTGGAGGGGTGAGAAGGCAGAGTGGGGTCTTCAGCAGTTTCTCTTTTCCTCCCAAGGGTAGTGGAATGCAGACTGCAGCACAAGGTAGCAGGCTTCAGCTGGCTGCAGCTTGGGTACAGGGCCTCTGTTGTGTTGTGTCTATCTTGAGGTAAATACCGTCCAAACTGAATTATACTTGTTTCTCCTTACTGAAGATCCTCCTTACTTAGTTGATAAAGCATTGCATTAAGTTCTCTATGGCATTTATTCCAATTTGTATGTTGCCTTTTCTGCCTTTTAACTATACATACCGTAGCATGCATGTTACTACATTTTAGGATCTTCAACACAATAGGAAGGGAAATATGGCTAGTATCTAAAAGAGCATAACAATTTTGGACTGAGCACCAAGGTTCCTCTTTATAGTCATTGCTACTCGGGAGACTGAGCAGAAGGCTTTATGAGTCAGGAGTTTTAGGCCAGTGTAGGCAACGTAGCAAGACTCTGTTATAAACAGCAGAACAACAGAAGCCTTAGTTTTCTGTTTCTGGGACACCACTGTAAGTGCCTCTGAAAACACCTGTGCCAAGTTCACTCTAAGGAAGACTAGGTGTGAGTGATGTCCCTTTTCTATGTTTATTTCCTTTCAGTTCTTTGGAGACAGATGTCATTTTCATAATTAAAGTTGGAGACAGAGAGGGGAAAACCTCAGAGGTGAAGGTAAACCTGAGATGGTATCTCTGAGTACATCTTGTTATCCTTGCTTTCTTAAGCAGTTCTGTTGCCGGCATCATTTTGTTACTAGCTGTTTTTCCGCCGGCCTGGTCCCACAGCCTGGCCAGCCCCAAATAACACACAGAGACGCTGTATTAGATATAATTCTGTTGGCCTGTTACTAGCATTTCTTATTGGCCAGCTCTGCCTTAAACATTAACCCATTTCTATTAATCTAAGTAGTTCCACGTGGTCTTGGCTTACCGGAGAGAGGGCCTGGCATTCTTCTCTCTCCCCACTACATCTTGAATCTCCTCCCTACTTCCTCCTCTCTCCTCCCAATCTCTTAGTCCCGCCTATCTTGCTTTCCTATTGGCCAACAGGGCTTTATTCATTAACCAATAAGAGAAACGTATTTACAGAATGACATCTCCCATCACAGTTCCTCCTTTCTCTGGTCATCATTGGGATGCCCCAAGCCTACTCTGCATATCTAATGCAGTGAACTGGATGTGAGCAGGCAGTGTCATTTGAAGAACACACAGCTGGGAGGTAAAGGCACAAAGATGAACAAGACGTAGCTCTTGCCCTCTACAACTAAATGGTGCATGGATCTCTGATAGTCACACCTTGCTGGGTGTGTGGCAATGTGCTGAACAGTTTGTCTGTATTACATCAATTCAAAACTAATAACTTCCCACCCTTGCTTTTTGAGTCAAGGAAAAGCTAGATAGTTTGAGAAAGCTATTTTAAGATCACACAACTCTCAAGAGGCAAGTTATTGCTGATGTCAAGGCCCACAGTCCACCTGTGGGCAAGGATGCGGGGCAGGCTACTTTATCACTGTAAAAGGATTGTACAGACTAGGCATGTGACCTCTGACACATGCACAAGTGAATCCAAGGCCACATCAATCACTTTATCCATCTTCATCTCTATGTTTCTGAATTCACTCTACCCCTTCATTTCACTATCTTTATTCTCT